AAAATAAGGCCTGAAAAAAATTCATTTAAGCGCGGGATTTGAACCCATGACCTCTGCGATACTGTTGCAGTGTTCTTCTGACTGGGCTAACAAGTCAACCGGGAGCTTATCGTTATGTCAGTTCTAAATAAATTGAACCCGTGAATTGATGAATAAATAACTGTAAATATATGAAAATCATATATGTGAACTGCGGATAAAGACGTGGATAGGATAGTGACCTCGAGTAAACAAATGCGGACACCAACGAATACACTTGCCCTTCTTTAGTTATTATTCGGTGCATTGGAATTAACCTTAAACCCTAGGAGTGACTAGCATCAATTTTCTCCTCACAATGCCACCCCTGAATCAAAGACTATAGTCATGAGAATATGGGAAATGATTATTAACTAAAAAAAAAAGCTCTTGATTGTCGAACAAATTCTCCTTGTTAGCATCTAAGAAAATGTATAGAGAACAGTATGGAGAATATGCATACTGATATTAGGGTGTAAAAAGGTTAACTTACGCTCTCTAAGATCTTAAGAAATCCTCGTATGGAACAAATGTAGGCGCTATTGATCATAGGTCTGCGGCTATTTGGATAACTACTCATCTTGATAGCTGAAAAAAAAAGGAACATCTCCTTTCATGCAGGTACAGTTTACTACATGACTTAATTGATCAGTAGGCGATGTTTTTACGCTTGGAAGAAAATTGTCCCACTGCCCGTGTATTCTTATTAATTCTTTCAGCTTAATTCTTTCCATAAACCGCTAATTGTTAACGTCATAAAATTTCTGACAAATGGATAAAACCACCTTAAATTTTTGAGCCACTTAAGTCCAGGGAAGATTAAGGAGAATTTCGAAAAGTGATTTTTTACAAGCTGATTATTATCCCAACCAAGAGTCACCAAACTTATCTGTTAGCGTATGAAAAGGAAACTAAGAATGTGTTTAATAAGATTTTCCATTGCTATGTAAATTTTTAGGGGCCGGTTATTCAAGCTGTTTACTGCTGCCGGTCGCTGTAGTCCTAAAAGAGAATCCTACAACTTATATTATTTCAGAATGGCCTATTTGATAACACAAGTTATTTCAAGACCCTTCTTCCAATCTTTTTTGGTGGCAGGCCTGTTGAAGATCACGTGGGAAACAAATTTCTTTTTAACTCGACTTAACTTTGCTAGAATTTCCAGATCGATTAGTAGTTTGAATCTTGCAAATGTAAAAAGTTAAGTATCACATTATTAGGACTTTAAGTGTCATGAATGGTAAGTTTGATACCTGAAGTCTTCATTCACAACGTTAAAGATAACTTCACTGTCTCTGTTTGATGTACAACTTTTAGTAGTTACATGTCTACGTATACGCATGTAATAAATATTCATCACCCAGATAAACTGATGTTTTAATGTTTGTTAGATCCGCATGCTATAAGAATGAATTTTCTTGCCAGCTGACACTCTGACACTAGCCAAAGTATTAGTGCTTTTTCTGTGTAAGCTACTGACGGAAGCTCAGGGGACATCTACTTGAAATTTCGATAGGAGTTGAGGCAAACCTATTGTACGCGCTCAAGTGAAATTATTGACCGACATGTATAAAAGTTGCGTCTTGTTTACAACAGACGCTCGAGAAAGGGTTTTACTCGACATTATAAACACTTCTATGTCTTTATTATATTTGACTAAAGGCTTTTAAATCTTTCAGTAAAATATTTAGTACAACAAAAAGTTGACCTCAGCCCACACCGTCATGATATAAAATTTCAAATTTTTTTTCGAAATTTACGGTTCGCTTCGTTATATTTATCGTACACAAGCGCCTCGATCGCCGCTATTATGATTGCTTTAAACGCTTCAGTCCTTACCTGCCTGTGAACGCTTCAGCTGAACTTCAAAGGAAATTCAATCCTGAGTTCGTTAAGGGCACAATTCAGTACAGAGATTTCACCGAGTCCACTTTCCTTCGCAAAAAACACGCGACAAATCGGCGTGATAAAACCACAGCACAGAAGAGCTGCAATATCTGTACTTATAAATGCTAATTGTTCAATGTCATGCATGAGGTACTTTAATATTCCAAGTACAATTGATTGATTGGTTAACAACCCTAAACTTAAATGACATAGGGTCTGAAATATGTAGCATAACTTTCTTTCCATTAGCATTCGTTATTGGCTTAGTAAAAGCTCGTACAGTCCACAATAATTTCAACTCAGTGGGTTACTTAAACACAATAGCTTTTAAAGACTCGATATCTCTGTTTGATAGTCCTTACAAGCATATTTAATTTTGCATCAATCCTTAAAGTTTTACTGACCAAGGGTACATTTTTAATGAGATCCCTTGATAAAGGTTTATCATAAAACGTCAGCAGCACAAATACATATGTCATGGTCGTGACTTTCACAAAGCTTCTTGCGATTAAGTGCTTTCGCATCAGCAAAAATAACTCAAATGATAACAGGCTAACAAAGCATTTCTCAACGGAACAATACGTCAAGGCGTGCGCTTGAATTGAATTTTTTTTAGTTTTTCACTAAGATCAGAGAGATCCGTCACAAAATATTCCACTCTGGAATATTCTTATTTTTTTTGGAGAATGCGACCTACTCTATTTTTAAGTGCTATTCAAAGGTTTTTTTTTTAATTATCTTTAAATTTTCAGTGACCTTCCTACGTAATGGCGACCAAGCGGTACATCCGCTCTCCTCTACCAACACCTGCTCGATCCTCCTTCTTTCGCCTTTATGTATCTTCAATCTTTCAGAGGCAAGTTAGATTCCGTAAAGACCTCAACATGATCACGATGAGATACCGCCAAGATCCAGACGAAATCTTGTTAATTTAAAGGACAAGAAAAGGGTGGGGAGGGAGAGGGCTTCTTATTTTTTTTATTTTCTTTTTCTTTTTCTTTTTTTTTGGGGGGGGGGAGGGGGGTGGTAGCCGCCTTGATCAAAACACCTGTAATCGTCTTATTGATATTCGCGAAAACTTTCAGCTTCACATTTTCGACGATTGTGAGGTGTTGAACGACCGAGAAAATTTAAAAAAAGGCATATACTTGTATAGTGGGGGATGTATGCCATACTAAGAGTATTTATGTGTGTCAAGATACTTGCCAGAACCAGGAGCCAAGTAAAAGACTCCCCCTATGACCCTCTCGAAATTTTGGCCGTACATGTGCGCTTTCTCGATGATGTGGGATCTACATAAGCATTTGAATTCCTTGTTTTACAATTCTAATTTTGGAAGTTGTTTTGAAGAAAGGCCTTTTAGTCGATAATTACTGACTACTGAATGACAGCGTTTTCTCTTTTTAAAAGGTTTTTTATGAAAGCTGGTCATCTAAACTGTCGCTTAGTTACCGCGACACTGCACCCGGCTTTGTGACTTCAAGCCGGGCACAGTTGTTAATGAAACATCTGTTTTCGCTGGCTACAGCCATAGGACTTGCTAAGTGGAGTTTTTTTTTAATAAAGAAGTGACGAAAATGCAGAGAGGGTAAAACGAATTGTTCTCAAAATGAGGTATTAAGTTTTTTATCCGGCAGCTAGAAAAGGTGTCAAAAGTAATATCCTGAAGCCTTCATGTATTTGCTTAGTTAAAAACGCATCGTCTTTTTGTGCAGTTTAGTTGTTAACGCTCGTAATTGTGTGCTTTAGTTCGAGCGAAATCAAAAGAAAGACGCTGCAACTGCTGAGTTATAATTGTTGCAATCACATTTTGAATTTTGTATAAAATTGACGTACTTTGATCATTAGGCAGAAAAAACTATGGTCCGAAGGCCAAGCTGAATGGATTCATAATGTCCCTGTTGAATTGAAATACATGAAATAGGGAGCCCCTCTGTAAGATGGTGAGATAAGGAATTCTAAGGCGGGCCAATTTGTAAAAGAAGTTCTTGACCAGTGATCAGCACACCATTCTATAGCTTTTAGCTGTAATATTTATTTGAACGTGCAGGTGATTGAAGTGAAAGTAAATAATGGACTAGTTTTAAGTAAATATCGTTTATCTCTGCCTCCTTATTCATCACAGTCACTTTTCGAAATCTGAAAGGTGAGTTTCAAAGATGAAACTAGATGATGATTTTAATGAGAATTTTCCTGAAATAACCGTGAGAAGCGCTTTTTTTAGAATAAGAACACTTCAAAATGCTATCCTTTTTCTCATTGAAGTTAATTTCGGCCTCGAATTGTTAAATGTATGTACATAGCATGTGTAGCATGAGAAATAAAAAAACAAGACGGATCTCTTTCTCAGAAATAGCTATTTTCAAATATTTCAAGGTCGGACAACTCAGTATTTCTCAAGTTATGATAGTTTCGGGTTTAGTGTTCTGTTCGTGATTTGTGTCACTCCCTCGTTTCACCTCTGAAGAATTAACTCCACTCAGATACAATTCTACTGTGTATGCGTATTCGTTTTTTTTCTTTTACTCAAATTTGATGCCTCACTCGAACTTCTTTACATTGTGAAAAACTTCCTGTAACTGTGAAAAACTCATCTGCAATTTAAGGGCAAAGAAGATGCCGATGTCACAATTTGATGTCATAACTGCTTTACTTGCTTAAAGCTAGTTCATGCCTTCGCTTATCCGCCATAAAAGGCAAAGAAAGTCAAACATTCGCGACTCCTATGATGTGAGCATAAGATAAAGTGAACCAATTGACCAAATGCAAATGAGAAATAAAAACCATTTATTTTACATTCCGTGCAATATTGATATGAAACATATATGCCTACGAGATTTTACATGAATCGACCGGCTAAATAAACATCAATGTTGTCGATGTTTTCGTCGCTTGGTCGTGCGCTTAAAATCGATTCCAAGAAAGCAACTGCAATCTTAAGTAAAATATACGTCTGCTATTATATGAAACACATTTAAGACTAATGCATGGCCAAAATTAAAGCCAAAATCAGTGTGTTTAGATCTTCGCTTGAACACAGAACAAAAGTAACTTTACCTAGTGCTACTGAGATTACACTTGTAAACCACGTCCTCCTAGACTTGTCATTAATAAAAAAGTCTCAATTATTTTCTTTTAGTTTTTCTTATGGTCACTCCGGCTGTTTTATCATAATTACAAACATACTGCGTTCCACGACAGCGGCAGCTTTTAAAATAAGAATCTACAACGAGTTTTTTCAGGCTTTAAGTACACGGATATGCATGAATCAACGTTACAGTTTGCCGCTAAAATTTACTGAAGAGTTCATGAAGACTTGCAAGTGATGATTTTCTTGTATTCGATGCGAAATGACCTGTTAAGGAGTCCGTACAGAACAGGATTGATGGCGGAGGACATGTAAATTGACAAACCGTAAAAGTAATAAACTTGCCTCGGCAACATTGGCGCGCCGTTGGTAAAGTCGATCTGGTCGATGATCATTATTGGAAACCAACAAAGAGAGAAGCCAATAAGGACAGCCGCCAGAGTTTTGGTGACCTTCACCTCCTGCACGTGTGCATTTCTTTGGCTTTCTGAGTCGGCGTTGCCGCTTTGAGGGAAAACTGCGCGACGTACCGACCAATAGATGCGGCAATACAGGCATGACATGATGATAAAAGGACTCATGATAAACCCCATTCCCATGCAGAGGGCGAAGATGAAATTCTGCTCCATGGCGAAGGCGCAGTATGCTTTTCCCGGGTGAAACGTGAAATCGTCGCGAGCGTAAAACATCGGAGACAGGGTTGGAAGGCATGCAAAGCAGAAAACACCCACGGCGAATCCAATAGATTTCTTCACCGTAAAAATCCGGCGATACAAATTGGGTTTGACGACACAAAGGTATCTGTTGATGGCAATGACAACCATGAGTTGTAGCGATATAACCGCCAATGTCAGAGGGAACGATCCCTGAAATTGACACACTTCTTTACTGTAGATCCAGCGCCCCGATATCAGCACACCAACGGTTAGAGGCATCGTACACACCGACATTGTGATATCGGTCACAGAGAGAGCGCAGATCAGAACGTTCGTGGGTGTGTGGAGACGCGGGTTTCGAGTGACCGCTACACACACCAATATGTTTCCAAGGAAAGCGCTCAGTGCTACGAAAGCCATCACTGCTGATTCCACCACAACCAGAAGCGTTGTTCGAGATACAAGTTCGTGAAAGAGCCGGTCGTTGTGAAAGTTTCTCAACTCTTCCAAAGTTGACATGGTAGAATACTTTGGAATTATATAGGGTACAAAAAAGAGTCCAACTTGTGGTTAACGCGCTCGGTGCTAAGTGCCTTGTGATTCAAATCGCTTCGCTTACCAATCTTATATTCGAACGTCACTTGGCAATTGGCAAGATTTCCGCTGAAGCCAAGATTATAATCAAAAGTAGCTTGCAGCTGGCATTACATCCTCCAAGCTCAAAAGCTACTTTCTCCTAAATTGCACCACGCATTTCTCACAATTTATCAATGAGAATTTCTTTTTGAGTCGGGTCGTCGTATGCTTAAATTATAACTTTGTTTAATATCAACTTTCTCGCTTAGCCGTAAATCGATGATCGTGGGGGAAATTACTTGACGATCGATCTGGGCAATCCTTAAAGGTGTTAATAAAAATGGTACTGTATCCATGACTACTTACGCTTACAGGTAAACGCTGGTGAAGATTAAACAAATGTGCCACAAAATATTTATTTTTCAGTCTGCGATCAATCGAAGACCTTTTCATCAATTTTTCCAACCTCAAATCTGTTTGAATTATTGCACTTTACATAACCAATCAATTGCAACTCACGTTTCACGTTCACGTTCAAGGTCGCTCTTAAAGTCGATACTACTCTCAATTCAATAAATTAGTCACAAATATTTTTTTTCTAAATTATCCGGCAGGCATTTCCTAATTTGAGGAAGTTCTTCTTCGCCAGTTATTTTTGGCGACAAAAATTTATCGATGGTACTTAATACAAGGAATTGAAGGGAGTAACTATAAGGACGGTATGTAATATTGCTTTGTTCACAAACTAACGCACGAAAAGTGATCTGAATTAATAAAGACAGGCACAGGATATAAAGGAAGTGTTATAAAAGTAAACTTCTCAAGCATTGTGAAAGTGATACCTACTACAGGTGTTTGGTACTTGGTGGCGTAAGTTAATTTACTATTTTTGGCCTATAGAAACCAATCCCCCTCCTAGCACCAGTCCGCGCGGCTAGCCATGTAAGTTTGACATTCGCGAGGATCATGCAAATAAAAAGGGTGTGAGCTCGAGTTGAAATGTAATCGTTGGTACGTTCTTATGCCAGCCGTATTCCAAAATTGTCAGGTAAATTGCCCTTTTGTCGAGTGTCCCATATTTTTTACGTTACTAATATTGCCTATGTTATACAAATTTCTTGTTATTTTGTATTTCCTATGTTATTTCTAATCTTGTAATTAGTTGTACCGCTCTTGATGTATTATGTTCGTAATACTTTACTTAGCAACCACAAGCAGTGGCTTGTAAATAGAAGAGTTCGGTCGAGTCGTCAGGAAATTAAACTCCTGTTAAATTTATTGCTGGTGCGTTGGTTATGGGCCCATATATGAAATTGCTCATCACAAAAATATTGAAAAATAAAAACCTATTTGAACTGTGTATACAACAAACAAATAGATACCCTCGCATGAAATAAAATTCGATAAATCCGATATTTAAGTCCGAAAAAAGGCATTGGAGTATCGACAGAACTCGATCCCGCGCCTTCAAGATACGAAAAGTTTGGTCCCTCTTCCATATCAGCTTCATCGTAAAATGCCAAAGCAAAAATTTGATAGGCACGGATTCGAATCTTTTCTAAGCCTTATTTATTTTTTCAGGCTTTACTTTCTTAAATTATTTAAACTGAAATTCGCTTTTGGGGTCAGATGGTCCCATTTGCTCATAATTTAATTTCACTGTGGTAACTTTTATTGAATATCTTTTTATTCTTGCGTCTTTTTCAAAATCTTTTTTTATCATTGTTACAGCAGAACATCTCAATCAGGAGGGACAATGTCTTTGTTAAAAAAAATTTAATTCATCAAAATTAATTCCAATTTATTGTTTGTTCAATCTTTGTGAAGGTTTTCCTTTCTGCAAAATGTTGACTTAAACACCTCAAGAGGCTCTTCAGTAGCACCTGCGTTTTTATGAGTCAGGTTTCAAGAAATGCAGCAAGGTTTCTTGAACTGCCCTAAAAATAGCGACGTTCATAGTCGAATCGTTGAAGTCAATTGTCCAATGATAAGGTTCCCTTTGGAGTCGCAGCACGCAAAAATTAGTAACTACTTATAGGATCTTGTATACACTTTCCACGTTAAGGCTGAGATAGAAGTAGCATGTTTTTTAGGACAAACTTTTCTTTTTTATAATCTCCATTTAGCTTAAGGCAACGTCTACTGACACTAATAATGATTCCATTGATTAACGTAGCCCATTAAAAATGCCACAGGCACACTGATATTACGAGACAACAAACTAATTTGGCAGTGAAAATTTGGCGCTATTTTGAGGAAGGGGTCGGATAAAGAAAATTATGAAACAGGGAAATGTGAATATGACAACGATATTCGCTGTAATAAACTTTCTTGAGTTATAGTGAAAAAAAGGCAAAGATCTCCATCATATTCATTTAACTTCTTCAACCGCTGTTCACATACATGATTGTCATATAATCACAGTCGCAGGGAAATCTGTTGACCTCTTGATTCATTTGGGATACCAAAAAAAGTTCATTATATAGCAGATTCAGGGTCGTTTAAGAAAAGATCACAAAATATTTTTTTATTGAGAGTCTGATCATAAAGAATAGCTAATTTCCGACTTACCCTTAGCCTCTTTTTCAAAGCAAGTCCTGGTGCTGATCTGTTTTTATATAACTATAAGATTCTCATTCAGATGTAAATTAAACTAATTTTTCATACGAATGGTTGAGCACCAGGTCTTGTTTTGAAAAAGAGGCAAAAGTTGATTCGGAAATGGCCCATTAAGGTTAAGGAAGTAGAAACAGGATCATGACGCGCAGGAGTATTGTTGAAAAGATTCTTGTTGGAGTTTTTCTGCCAACACCTTTCCCCGGCATTGCATTTCCTCCAATGCACTTTAAAAGGGATGCATGTGAGCATCACGTGGCATATACGTTCTACTAACTGCTCTGGTTTAATTAAATCTAATCTAAGTAAAATCCAGGGTTAGGGTCAGGCAAGGATTCATCGTCAGGCCGGCCGTTGATTTTCGTATACAGAATCGCGGAATCCATAAGAAACAGAGCCGCCGAAACAAAGCCACAACACTGGAGAAAAAAAGGAAATAGAGATAATGAATGAAAAAGTGGGAACTAAAGCTATTATAGGATGAATTTCAAAAATTGATGAAATGAGATATTTATCTTCTCGTATGTCTAAACAGAGTTGCAATCGGATCAACTTAGAGACTAACTAAACAAGAACAGTCTAATCGCGACTGAGCTGCAGAGCAAGATACTGGGTTCAAACGATTACCACAGCATCTACACTGAGATATGGCAAATTAAGTATCTTAAATCAATGAAGTAGAGACAGAAATGGTGGTTAAACTGCCAGCGCGCTAACTTCCTCATGACAAGGTCCACGTTCGATTGTTGGTTATGGTAATTAAGTTGCCCAAGTCAATTTTTTTCAAGGAGGTGGGATCACCCCCGGCGGTCATATTTATGTTGAGAATACCCCCTTCCCCTATCTAGTACTGGCATTTTTTGCATGCACTTACCACAGAAACAGTCAGAACGTGGGTGGAGCTCATGCGATGAGGAATTTTGTGCCAATTGGCACTGTACATGTCTCTCAAAATGTCCGCAATGAGAGAGGAGGAGATTAAAAACAGCACCACAAACACAATGTAGAACACTAGGAGCTGCATGGAGGATAAATCAGAAGAACGGGAAATTATTCAAATTATTTGGAGTTTCAAGGAAACCTGGATTTAAGAAATAGAGATTCTATCTTGCGAGTAGGTTTCATTAGTGTTGTTGCACAAACAGCGAAGCCCTCGAAAAGCCAGCAGGGGGAGCCAAGTGAGCATAAGCGATTTCTGTGAGGGGTATGAAATTTTTCTCGCCAGACCCTTCGCTTCGTTGCCTGCTGGCAAGTTATCATGATTCTACTGTAAAAACAATCAAGGGTCATTCCTAGCTGGCTTTTTCTCAGTCAAATTTAGATACTTCTCAAAACAAATTCCAGTCACTTTCGATCCACATCAACGGCACTGATATACTCACCAGAATATCCCAGTTCTTTCCAGTTGTTATATTCCCTTCCGATATAAAAATGAATGTCAGAAACACGCACAAGACGACGATCCAGCCTGTAGCAAACACCGCCATGAAGAAGTCAAATCGCGATCGATAATCCTCATACCAAAAGAGCGCATATTTTTGGTCAAATTCAGCCAGGCAAGAAAACGCCACGCAAATGGAACCCTGTTAACATCAGTTAAAATAGAAATATATGTGAGCCAGTACCCTAATTTTTGTAAATAGTGATCAGTCATTACAATCTCCCGCTTTATACTCTGTTAACGACTACTGATCCCCTCTTTCCCCCCCTGAAAATCATGTGATCCCTCACCGTCCTCCAAATTAACACCCTGTTCATGTCATTTAAAAATAAAGTGAAAAATATGAGAGCCAGTAATCCTCATTTTTTTAAATAAGCACTAGTCATAATAATCGCCCTCCCCTCCCCTAAACGTTGTTAACGACTACTTATCCTCCTTTGTTCCCCCGATACCATGTGATCCCCCAAAGCCCCCCAATACCTTTCCCACTCCCCCCCTCCCGTGACAAATAATGACTTGTCCCTCAGTTTCTTCATTTGGTTCTCATCCCTCCTTCTACCTTACTCTGTCCAGTCCCTTTCACTTTTTCTCATTTTCTATCTTCTTCACATTCCACTTGTCTTTTTATGCATGTTTTTTCTAAAAAAAATAGACCTTTCAAACGAATTAAAAGAATTGCATTTCATAAACTTGTATCTTTCATAAATTTTGGTATCTGTAATTATTCACTAAGTGGGATTGTCTTTT